GCATTCAATAATAATGATAAAAAAACAGTTAGACAGTGAAAACATTTAATCATCAATGTTTTCTTTTTACAAACTCTACTCTTTCGATTTCAACGTACGTAAATCCAGCTGCTTACTTCGACTTCTCTTCTATTCACCTGACACTGCACAACTCTTACTTCTTTTTTGCTGTACTCCTTTATCTGTGGGTTATATTCTTATATTCCCATAATTTACTTTAATTTAAGTGGTCAGTATGAATTTTATCTCGACTTACTACTGTATCGACTACTTCAACATGACAGGTTAAGTAGTTCTTTGGTTATATATATACACTTGCCACACTGCTGCCTTTTTCTCTCTCTCTTTTCTCCTTTTCAGAACCCCATTCACAGTGGGAGATCTTTGGCGACTCTAGGGAACATGCACCCTAGGTACATGACTGTCTGGATCACAGCTCAAGCGCGTTCCAAATGGACCTTTCCCAACAAATTCACTATTGATCTCGGCAAATCGCCAAAAGAACCTATTGTGCACCTTCCTTCTTTATTTGTACTCTACTATTGAAAATGTGGCTGTATTATACTGTTCCTGTTTGTGACACGGTGTCAATGTGCTATCAGAAACTGACTCTTATACTTAATTTGGCTGCGATAACTTTTACAGTAATTATTAAAGCATTTGTGACCATTTGATCTAGCCTGTAAACTGGCGTGACTCTTGTTACGTAGTTATTTGAGAATTAATTAATTTTGTTCACATGTTGTACATAGCTGGGGTAAATTACTATGCAGGCAAACTGCCAGATCTCTCAAGGTGAATATTTACTGGCTTTAGCTTTCACTGCACTATTCAGTGGGTTCGGTTTTCGCAAACTAGGAAAGCCCTACTTTTCAAAATATAACAGAAGTACGTGATCATTAGGTGGATCGCGTAAAGTTCTCATCAGAAAGGAGGGCAGCTGGTCTCTGTAGGAGCGAGCCCCTTCGAGGAGAATGACGTTGGTCGTCATGCGTTTTCAACTAGATGATTAAGGATTCTGCCAAGTGCTTTGTCTCAAGCATCTACCATTAAACCGACTGGAGCATCTGTGTTCGGAAGCGTTAACATGCATGCTCAGCATGGTTTATTCTTTAGATTTTTAATGACCTCAACACCCTCAGAAGTTGTTCTGTCTTCTTCTAAGGGAATCTCTCAACAGTTGTATTAGGTGTGCACAAATGCGTATAAATCGGGTATAAAAATTAATGAAACTTATCAAAACTCCAAAGTTGTTAAGGAACTTGCTATGAAGTATTTCTCAATAGTCTTTTCCTCCATTTTTACTGGTGCGATTTCTTCACGGCTTCTAGAGTCTGCACTCTGGAAGGAGTTTCATTCCGTTTTCATCTAGCTTTTTAAAACAGCTCTCACTTGTTGTTCACGTGATACTAAATCTAGACAAGCGATTAATAAATCTCATATTTATTCTTGAGCTAAAGGCATATATCAGAGTCGATTGTCCATAAGCCTTTGAAATGTCTGTGCCACATTCCTTAGGCTGAATGGCATGCATGCAAACTCCAACTGTCCAAAAGCTGCGGTCTAAGGATTATCTTTCTGAGTTGCTGAGATATTTTGATATGTTCTGACCAGATTAATTTTGGTAAATAGGTTCACACCCTGAAATCAGTTAGTAAAATCTTGAATATCAGGTACTAGATATTTATCCTGTTCACTTTCATGCCTGAATGTGCTTTTCCAGTGCATGGTTTCAAATCCCCGTCCATTACTAACAGGATTAATAGAATCCACAGAACCTTATATCACTCCCAAACACAAACCTCCTGGATGGATTGCAGAGACGAACAACAAAATCGATAACAGGGTTGAGAAAAAAACATTAAGAAGATAGACTCCAGCACTTGGAATCTTTCCTTCTGAGTTTCAGGAAAATCAGATGTGATCTGATAATGGAGTACGACATACAAAGCACGCCAAACTTCCCGATGTGAGCACCTTAACGATGCATCACCACCACTCCCCTCGAGGTAATACTCAAAAATTTGCGCGCCAAAGAGCGAACATTTAGGTTCGTGCCTACTTTTTATCAGTAGGAGTCGCTGCAACCTGTATTGCTCTCCCAGCCGAGAAGACCTAAGCCACCTCACTGGACAGCTTCAAGAAGAGATTTGATAAACAAGTACCAACATACGGACTATCCGCTCCCTCATGGACCAGCCGTGCCTGATGCATATCTTGAGACCTACTGGTTGTTATTATTGCCATCTCCTCACAACACAACCATAATCTACCTCGCATATTGTCTTCAATACGAATTAATAAACTAAATTATCCATTTATTTACTTAGTTCTGATATCTTATTAGCATTGTAATTTTCTCCTCATTGTTCTCCACATTGCAGCTAACTGATCTCCGGTCTGGTAATTTGATAGCTGCTGGTATCCAGAAACCCTACTGCCCTGATACAAACGTATTAATTCTAATCACTGGACATACAAACTCACAGACAACTGCCAGCTGACCAGAATTAGGTAGTCGAGTAGCTAGACCATGACGCATTGGATACTAAAACACCTGAAACCGTACCTTGAGAACAAGAATTGAGCGCAAAGATATCTGTTTGTTTTTACTAGCTCGTAAAAAGATATTGGATATTGGAAGTTTGAGAGGTGAAGTTGTATTTTGGCACCGACCTTGAGTCTCCAAAGTATAGTCCTCGGAGTAGGTTACTTTACTTTATCTGCAAATTGTATTAATGGTTTCAAAATATGACTAAAATAAATGGTGATGGTGAGAATATGATTTAGTGATGACCTTTGAGCAATGCCAAGGTGATCTTCCGATATCTTTTTACGAGCTAGTATAAATCAATTGATTTCCTTGCGCTCGACTGTGGATATTCATACTTGGAATGATATTTTTGGGTTTTAGTCAGAAACTGACACCAGCTCTAATGATGAAATGCTATCTAGCTATCTGAGTAAATAACATTCGCATTACTATCTTAGATGTGATTAGATTGTTCAACAAAATATAATTCCCCCTTTCCTTGTTTGGACGCACCTGATAGTTCACCATTTACATCAGCTCCCCAAAATTAGTTGTATTTGGACATACGTAGTTCATATCCAAACAACTTCCAGGTGCTTTCCTCCATCTGTTATCAATGTTATCGACTCAGTGGTCTCATAAGCTTTGCATGATGCTTCAAAGGTATTCGTTATCAAATACTAACAACCTAACAGACTCCAGTTTACTTGGGTTTTATTTCAAAATCGTGCGCTCTATACAAACATAGTGATTGTCATAATCTCAATAAACTTGTATTCTAATATATAAATATATATATATATATATATATATATATATATATTTGGCAGACACTTTTGTGACTTCCATTTCTTCAGGCTTGTCTAGATATCATTCTGAACCAGTTTTAGTCATTATGAATAAAATGTGCTCGCAGTCATTATTTCACTGAACTATACTTCTTGAATAATATCTTCAAATCCTAATCTTCTCCATTACCAGTAATACTTCTACTATCTCTACCATTATGGGATTTAAACTGTCAATTATGTCTCTGTGCTAATGTGATATGGTAACCTGAACTGATGTACGTACGTACGTAGTCCTACGTTGTAACTGACTGACTGACTCAGTCATAACAAAACCAATGTAAGCTAACTTAAATGCTTGTTTTTACGCTCACAAATTTAGTGAGAATTAAAGCTAAATGCGAAATAAAAGCTCAAAAACATGGAAATCAAATAGGGGTAAAGTAGATAGTATGATTTTATCGAAAATAAATCTTTTCCCCTATGATCTTGGAATACCATGAAATGGTGATTTTTAGTAAAGCACTTGAGAGTGTTGACCGCCGTACATTTCGTCTCATCAGTCTTGACAGCCTGGTGTCTGACCAAATCTCAGCACCTATACAGAGGGCTTGATTGGCTTTTGTCAACTAGCGTCACACTTAGGACGTAGACGATATCTGTTTGCTAACGAAGTACACGTCTACTGCACAATCGTTCGCTCTGTCCTACTGTATGGGTGCGTAACATGGCCACTAAGAGTAGAGGATACCATAGGTTACTGGTTTCCGACCATAAGTATCTTCGAAGCGTTGCCCATATTTACTGGGGACAATCGAGTAAGCAATACAGGAGTTAGGAAACGAGTAATAGATAAGGATGGCAGATCAACAGATAAAGTATTGAAACCTCATCAGTTGAAGTGGGTGGGACATGTGTTACAAATGCCCAACCACTGGCTGCCCCGATGACCTATGTTTTGTGGTGTAGGGGTCATCTGGAAGAAAGGTCGGAGTGGTGAGAACAAAGCATAGCATACATAAATCCATGAAGTCATTGACCAATGGACTGAGTCATGTTGGTAGGAGTAGATTACCTGATTGGGGTTCTGCGGAGCGATAGTAACCGATAATTAGTGACATTGAACGGCATATCTCAAAATCGTTTGTAATGACACAAATGTATTCATTCTTTGTCATTCCTCAAGACCTATTTTTCTCCTTAAATTCATTTCACTAGATTATCCTTGTTGAGGAATTTCTTTGAGCCGTAATCTCTTCCATTACCGCTAATACCTCTTCTACTATGGAATTTTAACTCACAATTCCATCCTTCTGTGCTAATGTACGTACTTAACGAAGTTCTACATTGTAGCTGACTGATTGACCATAAAATTAAAAACCGTGATTGATTAATCTGTGTTTTCCACACATCAGTGTACTGCATATTACTAATCTGTGATCAATTCTTCATTTAAAAACTATGATATATATGTTCCCTTACTATTTTCCCCAAAAACAATTTCATTAATTCATGCAACGATTAATTATGATTATTGTACAACCTGTTCTAACCAATAATGAATGGCACTTCCAAGATAATTTAAAAAAACCCTAAGTTAATTGTTCCGCATCATTAGAAAAAAATGTTGCCACCATTAACAAAAATTTTTTTTCTATTTTTTCACTTCTTTCTCAAATTTATTAGATATTAATTTTTTTACAAAATAATGTCAATTGATCATTGTTCCAGTACAAGTGATCTGAATGAAATAAATGGTGATCCACATAGAATATGGTTAGGCTGTCTTCCAACACGTATTACAGAATTTGCAATTTTACAATTAGCTAAACAATTCGGTGAATTATCTGATTTTCATTTTCCTGTACATAAAACTGGTGATTTACAAGGATCTACAATTGGTTATTGTTTTTTAACTTATAAATTAGTGGATGATGCTAAGAAAGCATGGAAAACGTATGTTTGTTTGATTGGTTATTTTTTAAGAGTTTACTTTACTTTACTTGATGCTGTTATACTTAATAATAAGTTTGTATATTTGGTAGATAGATAGATAGATGCAACATAGAACTTGGTACGTAAGTACATCAGTTCATGTTGCCATACCACATCAGCACAGAGAAGTAATTGTCAATTCAAACCCAAAAGTAGAAGAGGTAGTAAGGAAATTAGGAGTAACCAGAGAGGTTAGGACTAGAAGATATTCAAGAAGTATAATTCAGTGAGAAAAGTTTAGAAAGACAAAACTAGAGGGGTTGAAGAATCCGGAAGATTAGGATTTGAGAGAACACAAAGAATAAATGCACCGGCGCCATTGCAAACGGTTTTGAGCCATGTCATTCAAGGTCTCTAACCATCGATTATTATCATCTCGCGGACCCCAACCAGGTAGTCGACAATTACCGACATGGCTCAGTCCACTAGTCGATGACTTCATGGATTTCTGACATGTTTTAGTCTGGCCGCCCCTAACTTTCTCCCTACCTATTCCTACACTACAAAACAAAGTTCGTCGAGGCAGTCGGTGGTTCGGCATATGCAAGACATGTCCCAACCACCTCAACTGATGAAGTTTCGCCACTTCATCGATTGATCTGCCATCCTTACCTAGTACTCGTTTCCTAACGACAGCATTGCTTACTGGGTTGTCCCACGGTATACGAGCAATGCTTCGAAGACACCTATGATCGAATACTAGTAACCTACGAATATCTTCTACTTTGACTGGCCATGTTTCACAGCCATAAAGTAAGACGGAGCGAACCACTGCACTCGTCCTTTAGTCAGCAAACGGATATCTCGCCTACGTCATAAGTGATGAAGGTTGGCAAAAGCCAATCGAGCCTTCTGTATCCGTGATGAGACTTCGTCAATCATCAGGCCATCAGCACTGATGAGACTCCCAAGATAAGTGAAGCGGTCTACATGCTCGACTACTTCACTCCCTATCACTAGTTCAGGTGCCGATGCAACCCAATCTTGAAGCAACATTTTACATTTCGAGGGGGAAAACCGCATCCCGAACATGCTTGCATTGTTGCTTAGGGTAGTCAGAAGATGCTGCATCTTGTCAGCGTCTGCACCAAATAGGACAATGTCATCAGCATATTCTAAGTCAATAAGCGAGCCTCCTGGTAGAAGGTCTACTCCAGAAAATTCAGACGAGGATAAGGTTATTTCTAGGAGCATGTCTATGATAAAATTAAACAAGAATGGAGAGAGTGGACATCCCTGACGGACACCACTTGATATAGAGAATTCCGATGACAGTTCGCCATAAGCCCTCACTCGACCAGTGGTGTTCGAGTAAAGAGCTTGTATAAGGTTAATGTACTTCTTTGGTACACCTTTTGGTGTATTTGGTGAAACAAATCTGTTGGTTTAAACTCTGTTTTAATCTAATTTTGTCTTTAAATCTATGGTAGAGTACTTCGATAATATATATATATAAGTCACATTGCATACATGGGCTATAATATAAATTCAGAATTATAAATACTGAACAAACAAATCAAAGGATGATGTTATTAGCCCATTTTCAGATGAAATTGTTAATGAATTATCTATGTTTCACTATGTTCAGTACAGCATCAGTTGATTTTCATGTATATCAAAGTAACAGGGATGTTTGCTGATTAGTTTCATGCTGATTTTATGCATCATCGTCCCATTCACATCAAAATTTAAAAAGCAGTCACTGAGTAACCTTTTCCAAATGTAGTGAAGGTGGGGCAACCGAATTGTATTTAACGAAAATTACAGAGTTACTTGGTAAAATCGGAACACCATATCGTAAATCGTTAATTTGCAAATTATCAGTCCATCATATCGAACTGGACTGTTCCTGTTGCAAAACATCAACAATCCATTGTCACTATTCATGCGTTTCATACACAAATTCCATTGTTTTCCAACTCTTCCTTTCTCTTGATCTTCCCCCATCTTCTGCTGCCAGACATTACGTTGACACTCACGTCATGTACTACTTATAAGTAGCTCACACCACACTCGTCCCCCCTTTTAATAAGCTGTCGTCACTTTCAAAACAGGGACCCTGGTTAGTTAATATCACCTTCCGTATTCCGTGACACGCTACAATATGCTGGATTACCACTTCGGTCATTGTTCTTGCCCGCTGGTCTGGAATGGATACGGCATCTATCCAACGTGTAGCGTTTACTAGTTCCCGCTGCTGGGACATGGCGGCAGGCGCACCCTTGATAAATTGCGACGCCAACAACTGTGCCCTTGACTCGCCATCCATACTCGGCAGCGTACGGCGCAGCAACATCGTGAGCTCCACAGGCAGCACCAACGGGTCACCATCAGCCGACAGCCTCGCTAACCGGAACATCTGCGGCGCCTCCTCCCTGTCCACCGGGCTGTCGAACTCCGTCACCAGCCGCCCGGTGACCGTCTCCCACGCCGCCTTCCCGGCGGCACCGTCCAGGCTGTCGTATACCGCCTTTGGCTGACCTCCCCGCAGCGTCCCCAGCACCGCCAACTCCGCCCCGGGTCCCTTCACACCCACCAGCTCCACCGTGGCCTCACACTCCAGGAAGCTCCGCAAATCTCCGTCCTCCAACTCCTTCGGCCACAGGAGCTCCTTCCTTCGAGCAGGCAGTGACACTTTGAAAAGTGTTCAAACATGGGATCACTGATTGAGCGATACTGATTTCTAGACGTAATGTTGTTGTTTGAAAAATCTTTTAATTAGGAGTTTTGGGCTATAAGCTATATGTATATATCAAATCTTTGAATTTCATTCTAAAATGGATAAATTTAGTGTATAATTTCTGATCAATGTCTAACAGTGTTAGGATATTCATCCGATATCCTAAGATAATTGTTTGTAAGTCTAATTCTACTAGTCGATTCTTATTGGTCGTCGTAACTATCAATGTCACATATTTCAACGTTGTTTCCTTTTCGACCCAACTGTATAAATACGCATTATCCGTAACATTTAATGACCCAGACCCGCATTCCTAGTTCGAGATCCGTATGCTCTTCTGAACTCGGACTTCGTACTTTCTGGATGCTTTTAGAATACATATTCTACTTGATATCAAGTCTTTGTCTTTTCCTCAATGAGGATTTGGGACACTTGGATTAGAGCAGCATGTCGTGTCACCAGATCCTCAATCCTCACTCTCGTTTTCCGACAAAGGTAAACTCGTAATAGTTCGAGCGTATCAAATCGAGGTGTTTATGTGAATGCATAACAAAAGGACAGCTTAAACTAGTGATATATCTGAAAATTATTCACAGTTAAACTTCTTTTATACCATGAATATTATCAAAACTCGTGGATATGTTTGTAACCAAAGTATTGAACTCGTAATAGTCCCATTCGTTTTTTTCACATATGTGACTCAGGTGATTCAAAGTGATTCCCAAAACCTAACAAATATAATTGTTACGGTCTTGCCTGACGTGACGATCCAACCGGGCTATATTGGCCAAAACATATGTTCATGTAGGCTCTACTTTTACAAGCAGGTCGATTGGAGAACGATAAGACTAAAAGCACCAACTCAAGGTCTGAGAGCGAAACCGTACTGTTGATTGTAAAGGGGTGTAACAGCAGTAAGGTGTTTCCCACAGAAAACCAGCATTTGCAGCGATGCTGCCTTCTCACGAGGAAGGAAGGGGTTAGAAAAAGTCAACCCTAAAAATGTCACACCCCATCTTACCCAGATCGATTTATGAAGTAGTGGATGTCTATTAGTTGAGATGGTTGGGACATGTATTATGTGTGCCCAACTACTGACTGCCCCGACGAGCTGTTTTGTGGTGTAAAAAGTAGGCTGGAAGAAAGCTGGAGGTGACCAAACCAAAACATGCATAAATGAACCCATGAAATCACCGACTAGTGGACTGAGCCATTCCCCCTGTGTCTCCTTTCATGGGATTTGAATTGACGATTCCATCTTTCTGTGCTAAACTTATGTACGTACGTACGTAGGTACGTTACGAAGTTCTACATTGTAGCTGACTGACCGAATGTGATCGATGACACATGCCTAACTCGCCATACCGCCCCCCCTCTTTTTTTACCCAGGACTTTAAACCGCCAGTAAATTTAGAATAGTTTCAGGCGTTTCTCTATAATTCACTTATAACTAATATGAATTGATATATACTTTGAGATACAATTATATCTATTTAGAAATTGTATAATTCACCTACTGTAACCATTCGATTAAGTTTACGTATCTATTAGTCGTATCATTTCGACTAATTTGCTCTCGTGTGCTATTACGGGTATGAGGGCGGTTGTCACTTCCCGGCTGCCCACACCGTGGAAGGTTGTTTCTAGAGGAACCTGAAAAGGAAGATAGATTAGTGTTGGTCTTAGAGACCTGGGTGCGTGACCGCAGAGTCCAAGGGACAACTGCTTGAGGCCAGTCACGCACGGCCTTTTTATGAAAGGCTTTTTAAGGATTAGCTCCGCTCTTAAAGGCCCTTAGTGGGCAACCTTACCGTCGGAGACGGAGATCCGTGAGGTAGGGTGAGGTGTGACATTTTTAGGGCCGACCTTCTCTAACCCTTCCTTCCTTGTGAGAAGGCAGCATCGCTGCAGATGCTGGTTGTCCGAGGGAAACACCTTAATGCTGTCACACCCCTCTGCAGTCAGCAGTACATGTCTGTGCTGATGTGGTATGGCGACATGAACTGATGTACTTACGTAAGACTGATTAGTCATATCATACTAACTTAAGATTTAACATTTTTTCTTTATTCACTAAAAGTAAATTTATCTACTTCCCCCTATTACTTCTTTTGTGACAGATTAGATGGTTTAAATTTTCATGGACATTCTTTAGTGGCTAGACCAGCTCGACCAACACGTGATGAATTAACCATTGCACAACGTGCATATGATGAAGCTTCTAAATTTAGAATAATGGAAGAGACAATACAACGTGAAGCACAATTAGCAGCTGTAATGTCTATATGTGATTCTACAAATAATATACAACAATCTAATTATCCTATGGAAGATTTATCCAATGTAACAATGATTTCTGATGAACAACTAATGAAGTATGTGTTCTTGTTTTTTTGTACAGTTAATAGTGTGGTGTTAGAGGAATAGCTTTTGCTGAAATTGTAGGCTAAAAAAATTCTCTTGTAATATACGTAGTTAGGCATTAATGTAACTCATGTTCCTATACTCATCTAGTTTGATTTAAACTCTGTATGTCAGTTTATTTGCTCTACATCAGGTTCTTTCCCGACCGTCGCTGCTACCTTGACGTGGTGGTGGTCGGGCTTGCCTATCATGATGACCCAGCCAAGCTATACTAGCTGGAATATATGTTCCTACATGTTCTACCATGCCAGGCAGGTCGATTGGAGAACGATGAGACTAAAAGCACCTACCCAAGGTCTGAGGGCGAAGTCGTACTGCTGACTGTGATGGAGGGGTGTGACAGCAGTAAGGTTTTTCCTTTAAACAACCAGCATCTGCAGCGATGCTGCCTTCTGACAAGGAAGAAAGGGTTCGAAATGGTCGACACTCACTAATCTATCTTCCTTTTCAGGTCCCTCAAGAAACAACCTTCCACGGTGTGGGCAGCCGGGAAGTGATAACCGCTCTCATACCCGTAACAGCTGACTGACTGACTGATCAGGTTCTTTAAAGTAGTCATAAACTCACGGAGATTAGTCAGTCAGTTACAATGTAGAACTAAATTAGCACAGAGATGCAATTGTCAATTTGAATCCCATAATGATAGAAGTAATTGAAGTATTAGCGGTGTTGAAGAAGAGTTAGGTTCGAAGATATTATTCAAGAAGTATAATTCAGTGAAGTAAATTTAAAAAAAGAAAGATAAAGGTGATGAGGAATTAAGAAGTTTAGAATTTCAGAGAACAGAAGGCGTAGATGTACCTGCGTCATTGCAAACGATTTTGAGCCATGTCGTTCAATGTCGCTAA